CACCCAGTGACCCTCTCCAGCTCCTCCCACTGACCCACTCCAGCTCCTCCCACTCCAGCTTCTCCCACTGACCCACTGCAGCTCCACCCAGTGACCCTCTCCAGCTCCACCCAGTGACCCTCTCCAGCTCCTCCTGGGGGAGTGTTCCCAAGCCAAATAATCCCTCCACTGAGGTCTGGGTCTGCCACAGGTCCAGGAAAACCACCAGGGGGAGGAGTCCAGGAGGTATCCTAATCAGATCCATCAAACCATTATCCATCCATCATCCTTTATACATCTATTAATCATCTTTTATCCATCCATCCATCCATCCATCCATCCATCCATCCATCCATCCATCCATCCATCCATCCATCCATCCATCCATCCATCCATCCATCCATCCATCCATCCATATCTGTAACTTTTTGCATATTGAAATGAAGATGTGCCAAAAGATGTTTGGTGAACGCTTGGTTCCACATGGATCTGAATGTACAAAAAGGAAGTGCTTGGAATCAAGCGGCTGCCTGACTCCACACTGAGAGTGAGGGTGTTTTTCAAACTGTTTCCTGTTGGGACTCACCTGACAGGAGTCTTTCCCTCCCTTAGTCAGACCAGCACAAATCATGTTGCTCGTGATCGTAATTCCAGTCGGCTTGTACGCTTTGCTGCAGTCACTGTTGGACACAATGGGAATGTCCACCTCCTGCAGTGTGTTCGAAATCACACCTGAAACAGAGAACAGACAGGTTATTTAGGTCTGAATCCAATAAAGTAACATTTTCATCATCCCAACTCTAAGGTCAAGTTCAGTTTATACGAGGTCTTGGCTTGTCCAGGCCGTTGGTGTAGATTGTATAACAGTTTGTCGACAGGCAGATAATGTGCTGTATGTGGCACTCTTGTTCTTCAAAGAAGCCAGACTTTCTGTTTTTTTAATTGCCACAACTAATCAACATTAACCAACATAAAAATGGTTATAACTTGATCGGTTTTATATATACGAAACTAAAATTTTGTGTGAAAGTAGCTGGTAGTCATCCCCAACACATATTCTGAGTGTGTCATCTTGAGAAATAAAAAAAAACTAAATTCTAGCTTAAAGTAGCAGTATCTGCTATGTAACGGTAGTAAACAGTTAGCTAAAAGCAAAGTGTAGCAAAAGACAAGCTAAAAACTAAATGCAGTAAAAGGCTAAGCTAAATGTAATCCGAGGCTAGATAACAAAATTAGCAAAACACTAGCTAGAAACTAAAAGTAGCAAAAGACTTTAGGTAGTCTTCTGCTACTTTTAGTTTCTAGCTAGTGTATTGCTACTTTTAGCTACTACGTTAGCTAGCTAAAAGGAGCAAAACACTAGCTAAAAACTAAAAGTAGCGGACTGGGGGGGTTTGCTGTTCTTTTGTTTTCATGCACCTTCCTGTGTCCACGTCCTTGTCTTTCAACCCCTGCTGCACCTGTCTCCATTTTCCAATCACCCCAGGTGTTTGCCATCATGTCTCATCAGTGTCTATTTATTCAGTATCCTTGTGTCTTGTCAGTTGTCTGGGCATTATCCTTCAAAGGCTTTTGTCTCCGTCTCCTTCCGTGTCAACTCCCTAAATGGAACCCAACATTTTTCAGTCAGGTCATCTGGACAGTTTCTTTTTTTGCTGAAACGTTTCACCTTCCATCCGGAAGGCTTCATCAGTAAAGGAAACACACAACACAAAACCGATTCTTCCGCCAAACAGCTTACTCCAAAGTGGAACAAACCTGTTATAATGGTGCTAAGATGGTGTCTTTGGCACGCCCCCTCCTCTTGTGCCGGCCCTCTTCCTCGTCGACAGTCATGTCAAACTGGTTCAAAACCAAAAAGGTCCATGCTCAATAATCCAGGTATACAATCCAAAATTTTTCAGTCAGGTCATCTGGACTGTTTCTTTTTGGAAGGTGAAACGTTTCAGCAAAAGAAGAAACCGTCCCGTCCAGAAGACCTGACTGAAAAATGTTTAATTGTATACCTGGATTATTGAGCATGGACCTTTTTGGTCCCTAAATTGGAGTTTTTTGCTGCCCTGTCAGCAATTTTGTTATCGTAAAATAAATATAATTATTATTTTACTCCCAGTCTCCTGCCTGTGCCTGCACATGGGTTCAACCACTAATCAGCAGATCATGTTAAAGACTACTTAAGCTACAATTGGTAAAACACTAGCTAAAAGCTACAGTTTGCGAAATTCCAGCTAGAAGCGCAAAGGAGCAAAAGCAAGCTAAAAAAGCAAAAACAGTATCAAACAGCTAAAAGTGAAATGACAGTGATTCTTGACATTCTTTAACTCTTGTGATGATGTAGTTGTTCTGTTGTTTTGTTTCCCTTCATGACGTCACTTTGTGGAAGCGGTGTCTCACAACTAAATATCCAGACAAAAAGACACTCGGTTTCTGACTAGTGGCAACCCCAGCTTAGTTTACAAGTCGTTTGGTACAAAACAGAAGCAGGCCTGTGTCAGAGCTGAACCCTTGACTCCAGGGTGGAGTCAATGTCAAATCTAGTATTTTAATGCAGAAGAACTGAACCAGTCCAAACTGAGCATGAATATGAATGGAAGACGACACAGTTGGGTGGTGGTTGATGTCCAGCAGAAGGAGGCTGCTGTGTGTTTGTGTGATGAGGGTTTCCAGCCGATTAGAGCAGACAGACACAAGTCTTCCTTCCTGGACGCTGAAAAAGCCTAAATATCCTTGTACTGATTTCCAGAGTTATCGCTCATCCCTGATGTACGAGGGATTGTCTCTCCTTCCAAGTATCTTTAACAAAAGCTTTGTCTAACTTTATGATTTGACTATTTATTTAAGACTTTTATAACATCTAAAAAAGTTAAATCTGGTCCTCTGGACATTCAAAAAGAAACAAAACAAAGCAAAACAACAACAAAAAAATCTAGTAATGTAATTTTTTTGTTGTTGTTTTGTTTTTTTGAATGTCCAGAGGACCAGATTTAACTTTTTTAGATTTTTCTATCTGGATTCTTGCGCATGCATCAGGATACTTTTATAAAGTTTGTGTAGGCCGGGCTTTGTTTAAAATGGCAAATAAAAATGATTTACGATGTTCTTTTGGACTCCACCAGAAGCCTCACTGTGTCGTTACTTACCGCCACTGCTGGTGGTTCCAAAGCCGACGACCCAGCAGTCCAGGCCTTTCGGGAAGTCACTGCCTTTTGCAGCCAGACAAACAGGCATGATGTAGTTGGTGAACGTCACAGTGGAGGACAGCTTCACCAGGGCCAAGTCGTTGTCAAATGTGTTGACGTTGTAGTTCGGATGCTTGATGATCTGCGACACTGTCCGTACCACCTGATTGGGATTTAAGCCTTGCATTCTTTCCTTTCCGAGGTAAACGTTGACACTTAAAGTGCTGGTGCTGAAAGAATCAAGTGACATCAGGGTTAGAGGTACTCATAGCAAAGTCATGAAGGACGTTTGCTGTCATCTGTGTTTGTTTATGTACACAAACAGCCGAAGTGACTGAAAGTATGTACAGGTATACTATACATATACTCTGATGGTAGAACTATCTTAATGGTGCTCCTCGCCCTGCTGGATCATCAATATTTGATCTCAACTGTAGTTTGGCTTTCCTTTGGTGTTTCCTAAACATCTTCTGAGGTTTTTGTTTGTCCAGTTCCACCACACGTGTTCCACCGTCTGTGTTGAAATGTTCACTCATGCACTACATACTGGTCACTGCATCCTAGCAGCTGGGTGTTTTTTTAACATTTCAAACCCTTATTTTTGATATTAACACACTTTTTACCCCCCTCACTCGCTCTCGTGCAAGACGGACGCCTTTCTTCTCTCTCCTGTCCTCCTCCTTCTTTTTGCTCTCTGTCTTGTGTATCGGAGCTCCTATTTACACATCTTCTGAAACATAAACTACTGTCATGGATCTGATCAGCTGGACTTCAACACAATCAATAAATTTTTTCAACAAAGCGACAGGGTCCTGGAGAACCCTCATGCCCCACTGAGATGCACGCGGCAGGGTACGTCATGGATTTGAAGCTGATGTGCCTTGCGTATTGTCCCAGGAGGACGAAGATGTTTATATCAATGGAATCATGATAGGAGGGTTTCTGCTTTTTGGCACCAGCGGATACCTACGTTATCGGCTATTGAAGAAGACGGCAGCAGCAGTTTTGGCAATGGCAAAGCTGCCAACCCTGTGTGAAGGTTTGATTCGTGCTTTGCACTCAAAAATCAGCTGATTTACGAGATAAACCTTAAGGTGGAAGTGATTCTTGAGAATCACAGGCTACCTGAAGCTACCAGGACTCACCAGCATGGACCTTGGAGGAAGCTAATAAGCACGGACCAGTGGAATGCCCACAAATCTGTCCATTTTAGATCGAAAATAACAGCAGAACTTCAGGCTGAGGAGAAATAACAGTCTGCTTGAAAAAAAATCAACAACTGTGGCTTATCGGAATCTGACTCCCCCATTTGGCCTCGAAGCAGGTCGACTTGTCAAATTTCTCCTGGGATATTGTGTAAACTAAGAAGGCTCTGAATCTTTGACCACCTCATGGTCGCTGGTGAGGTCGCTGTTAGAAAGAAATCTTACTCTCAAAATGTTTTGGTGGGAGTAGGAAGGCAACATATGGGATGGACTACCTCCAACTATAAGCACTAGATTCAAAGCTTTTAAGGCAGGGGTCTGCAACCTGCGGCTCTGGGGCCACGTGTGGCTCTTTGGTCCTTGGTTTGCGGCTCCTTGAAGCTTTGACCAAATATAATGTAAAATGTAAAGTCACAGGTTTTTATACCCACAGTAAAAAGAAATGGCAAGTTTGAGCAGTTTTTCTGCAAATGTTTGGTAAATCAAGTAGATAAAACTGATGATAATTATTTTCTCTAATTTCATTTATATATATTTATATATATA